TTCTCATAGGGTTGGAGACATCCAATTCGTCGGCTGGCGCAAAGCACCAACAGTTACTGAAACCGTGTGTGCGGTGAGACTTTGCAGGCGCAGCAAGACTTTGACATGCCTGACAATTAAGTCCGTTTAGTCTCATTCATTGATCTAGGAATCTGAGAGCGAGACGTTCCTCGGCACCTCTCAGCTTCCGCACCTTCAAGTCCTGGCAGGAAAAGCAAAGCAGCCTCATGTTATATATATATATATGTGTGTGTAGGATCTTTTATTGCTGAAAGCATCATCGAAGCACCTTGTATTCTTTTGAGCCCCGAATGATGAATCCCCTCTTGCAAACATCTACCTTTCTCCCCAGAAAAATGCATGAAAATTGCACAATCAAAATATAGCATGGAGAAAGACATCCGGGATTAGAATGGAAGACGTGCTTGGCCTCCCCCGTCTCTTGATCCACTTCGCGGAGAGAGATGTTGAGCTTGGACCCGGCGATACCTGTCACACCGGAACGGGTCTTCATCCTTTTGGTCCGTTGACACTCTGCATGTCATGACCTCTGTTACTAGTAGCGTCCGATCGCTCCTAGTAGTAAGGCCAGGAGCCCCTAGTAGCTTCTTGTTACTAGTAGCGATGCCAGGAGCCCCTAGTAGCGTCCTTGCTCCTGTGTCAATCATAGTTTGCTGAAGAGCTTCATCTTCAAACACAGAAGCTGAGCCTATGATTTTCACGAAGCAATCTTGATTCCTGGAGCAAAGCTATGAGCGCGACACTGAATTGAGTCACCAAAATTCATCCAAAGTTCACTGGCGACACGAAATTATGTGCCTTTTCAAATGGTCAGCTGCTCGGTTCACATTTCGCGTCTCCTGCCAGTCAAAGCCCAGTGTCCCAAGGTAACTCGAGCTTGGAGGATTTGGTAAAACCTGAAAAAATGTTATGGCATGTTCAACTTCAACTGTAGAATTCTGGTAGCAAGGACACTATTATGTGGAGGCCATCGCCAGGAGGTTGGAGGCCATCACTACTAGCAACAAGAAGCTCCTAGGAGCAAGAAGCTACTAGGGGCCTGGCCTTACTACTAGGAGCAAGGACGCTACTAGGGGCTCCTGGCATCGCTACTAGAAGCATTCTTACTACTAGCAACAAGAAGTTACCAGGAACAAAGAATCCACCAAGACATCAGTCCCGAGAGAGCTCGCTCAAGTGAGCCAATCCTTCTCTTCGTCCTGCCACAGGACAAGTCTTGAAGCCTCTCCCCATAAGATGTTAGGAATCTGGGATCAACCTCTATCAATCAACCTCTTCATGGTCAATGTTGACTTCAATGCTAGAGAATGGTCATGGTATGTCATGGTAGTCGAGGGTGAGTGCAGTGATGCAAGCCACCGACTCAACATCCATCTTAATCCATGGCTCCATGTTGCCATTCACTCCTTTTCTGCTAGACCTATTAGGTTGGAGGCCATCGCTACTAGGTTGGAGGCCATCGCTACTAGGTTGGAGGCCATCGCTAGTAGAAACACAGAAGAAAGAAAAGGAAGAAAGGTTCAATCTCTATAGCTACTTCTCCTTTCATGCGTCTCCTGCCTTCGGAGGTCTCGAAGGAGATGAAGGCTCCATACTCCATGAGCCGCGAAACCTCCACACGAAACCCCGCGAATTCTGCGGCTCAAAAGGTAAAGAAAGAGACTAGATGCAAAACAAAATAGACTGAACTGTGTCTCCAAATCTGTCTCCCTGGCATTGGAGCCTGGCCCTTGTAGATGCCATAAAGCTCTACCTTAGATCACAGCTCAAATTTGTCTGTGCTGAATCAAGCGGAATCGGCTTCAGAATACTGCCCCACAAGAATGTCGAACCAAGAGCTGTATTTATCTTCTAGATTTGCACCATACACTTTGCGGTCAAGTGACAGGTCCTCGCAGCTCTTTCTTTTTTTCCTTGGTCTCTTTGTCCTGACCAAAACATCAAGTCTTAATGATGACAGGCTGAAGTTGGCATTACTAGTAGCTTCTTGCTACTTCACCACCAATTTGTCACAAATTGGACCTTGTGTTCACCACGACTTCGGCTTCTTTCTCGCCTGTCACAGAAACTCAAGACACCCGTGCAAGCGCAGGTGCCTCTGCTTTCGGAGTCAAACAACAAAAGCATTCCTTCGCGTCACAGAATTTAAACTCCGTGTGTGATGGGGTGGTCATATCCTGCCAAGGTCTGCGATCTGAAATTGAAGTCAATATTCGAGACTACTGCATCTGAGTGGTAGCACATTTTGTTGAGCTGTTGAATACAGTAGTAGTACCTTCGTTTTGTGGGCGTTTCATTTTTCTGATCTGTCAGTTTCTCCTGTCGATCATCATCATCATCATCATCAAGTGCAAATTGAACACTAGTTCGCTTCCACGAGCCTATCGATTTTTGGATCTCTGGCAATCTCCTGACGGCCACACAATGATCGTGAACTTACAGCAACAGCCGAGCTCCAGAAAAACGATTCGGTGCTCTCAGTATGGGCTAAATAAATCTAAATAAATCTGAATCTACATTTTAAAGAAAGCGGTCTTTGGTGTCCCACCCGTCCCTCCTTGTTTGCCAATGCCAAGGCTTCATTCGAAGCCTTTGCGTTCGGTCCACCTGAGAACAGTAAGATGTCCATGTGTCATTATCTCCTCTCCAGCACACATGGGGACAATCTTTGCATACACAGTAGCACCATGATGCACTATGTGGCATTGCTATGTTTCGCTCCACGAACTACGAATGCCTTGATCAAAGTTGGAGAAACAACAGTACAACACATCGGATTGAAAGTATCCGCCGCAAAGAATACCAGGGCATCGCTACTGGTAACAATGGCATTACTACTAGTAGCATCTAGTAGCTAGAAGCTACTAGTAACAAGGGCATCGCTACTAGGAGCAAGGACGCTACTAGGGGCTCCTGGCCTTACTACAGTACTAGTAACAAGAAGCTACTAGGGGCTCCTGGCATCGCCCTTGAACATGTGGAGAACTTCTGAGCCTTCGGACCTTTGGCATCCGCCTGACCAGGCTTCTTCGGCCCGCCCAGCTTTTGGATGAGCCTTGGACTAGGTTCCCATCGGCCCGCATGCTCTTATGAACCCGTAGAGACATACACATGACAATCATCGTACACTGCAAGGCATTCTCCGCCCCTTTGGCTGGTCGATTTCTGGCACTCTGTTCATTGCCTTGCCCTTTTTCCAAGGTGCTCTAGCAGCCTCTGGCAGAAAGCTGCAGAAGCCGCTGCTCCATTCTCCTGCCATGAAGCCGCTTGTTCACAAAAAGGAGCGATCTGGGGGTTCTTGAAGGATCTTGAAGGTGCTCTGCTTCGGAATTGTCTGCTGATTCAGTTGTTAGCCCTTGCATCGTTCAATTGTGCCCCACCTGAAGCTTGGCCTCAAACTCATCCACCCCAGAGCTAGACTCTCCGAGTTCGATCACGAACTCTGCGAGCCTGGCAGGGTTGAGAGCGCTTCATAAGTGTGAAAGAACAATGAAGTGATTGGTAGATAAGACCGAGACATGAAAAGGATCATGATGTATACATATGGACATGATGAACTGCTTGGTGCAAAAGGTCTGGAAGTAGGATGAAGTAGGTGTGGAACAATTCTTTTAGATTGAGAAATTGGTGGTCGTCCAAATGAAGAAGCCTCTGAGGCCAAACCCTATCCAGCTTGTCTCGAGACATACTTAGCAACCCCTAGGACCTGGTGTGCAAATGCCAAGAAAAATTGCCTTTCAACGTGAGATCATCCATCCAAACTTGCAACAGGTGTCTGCTAAAGCTGCCGAAGTTGCGTCTTGTCTTCTATGCCCCAGTGATTCCTGAGGCTAAGTAACTGCCAAGCAGCGGATCTGATCTTCAAAAAAACATTGATCGAACATTGATCGAATTGAAACTGAATCATCACTTATCTCATCGGAGCAGTCTCTGGAACCTCTTGGCTCCTAGCTGGATCTCAATGGTCACCTTCGAGACCAAACTAAGTCTTCGCAATGCCTAGCAGGTGTTGGACTTGCCTCCTAACTGCTGCCTAGTATGACCTCCACAAACACTTCTCCAAAGAGAGACTCTGCTCTAAATCTATGTGTGTTCTCTTCATGTGTCCTTTTCTGCAAACTTACTCGTTCATCGCAAGTCAGTCGAAAGGAAGAGGTTGAGACTGAGACCGTTCAAAATGTTCAAATTGGCGGCAGAGACATGCATAGTGCAAAAGATTCTCAAGCAAGATTCGTCAATCCGGCCTCCATAGCTTTTGGGCAGCCTACGCATCCAAAGTGCCCTTCTGCGAACCAAACTAGTGTCTGGGGTCCGTTCCCGTCTGAATTGCTTGCACCATATGGTCCCAAGTCAGCCCAAGACCACTACGCTCGTGAAAAGTCGAACGGTGTGCAATTCGTCTCATGTACAGTTTGCCAGATCAAAGTGCAGCACAGCTGGCCTGTGCCTCTAGCGGAAGGCTGCCCAGCTATGTTGTCTTGTGAGCCATTGCTTGAGCTGCTAGGAAAGCTGCAGATTTATTCTGTGGTGCAATGGAAGAGAAACCCATGCATCACAACAGCATAACCTTTCCGATTGGGGCATGATGCCAGAGAGAACCGCTGGCAAGTGTTTGTTGGGAGGCTAACGAGACCAGAAGCAAAAGAAACCTGATCCTTGCTTCCCTGTCAAACCGATCCAGAGCTGCGAAAACGCCCTCTTGACAGCAAACCATCGTGGCTTACATTCGCTGAAAAAGCTGAGCCTACCATCGCACAGCAGGAAGGAGCCAATCAAAAAGGTACCAAAAGCATGACACCATTGGCTTGCTTTTTAGTGCTTTTTGGTAGAGTGACTTCTCCAGTGAATTGGCTCCAGTGACCTGGGTGCTTCACCCGAAACCTGAATTACAGACACTACAGGTCGGGGTTTCTGGCAAAACAGAGGCTTGCTGATTTGGCCTATAGACATGTGTAGTTTTCTGAATTTGTGCGTGTCATTCATTGTTCTTTGTGCTTTCTATTTTCTTGATACGATGATAGACAGGCACTTAATGATATAGTGCTTCTTACTGTTGCACAAGACACCAGACATTCGCGTGCCTCTGTTTGCGTCGAATTGCTATGAATACAATTCTTGGCGGATGAGCCAAGTAGGGTTGCGCCGCTGTAAACGGCTGCTGAGTCTTTCTGCCTCTGGCGGGCCTGGTTTCGTGGCTTCTCGGGGGCCCCTTCTCCTTGCGCAACCCTGGATGAAATCGTCGACTTGCTCTGTGCGTCGAATTGTCCTATCCTTCTTTCTGCCATTTTTAGCGCGCGCTCCGTTGCTTTGTCGTCTTCGTTTCGCCGAAACCCAGCCAGTTGAAATGGTAATCCTCAGCCAAAGGCAACTCACATGACATAGATTCGATTCACAAATGAGATGAAAGACCCAGCAAATGATATCTTCATGCATCTTGATGTTGCAGATTAGACTGAGACTGTGCCAAGCTTGCTGAGTCGGACTGATAATCCGTACCTCGCACTTAGCCCCACACGAATTCGTCTGGACATGGGCAGAAATCCTGGACACGTTGAGCAGGGCAACTCTTCCCACAGCAGTTTCCAGCTCTTGCTTTTTTTGTGTTTGAAAATGGTCTTTTCACTTGTCTCGCATCACCTTGCTGATGTCGATGCGATGCATCACTTCGTGCCTGGTCAGGTTAATAAGAAAAGAGCCAATTCAATGCAATATGTCAATGTGCAAATGGATGAAGGCGATTGAATGCGCATGAATTCCTGTCTGCCCTACTCGTGTGGCTTTACATATCTTTACATGCTTTCCAATGAGATGTCCCTCGTTACGAGCTTGGCACCTTTCTCCCAGGCATCCACCACAATGGACTGGCCGCCCAGACTTTGGCCGTTGAGTCCAGAGACAGCCTTGGAAGCAATCGACTGCATCACCGTGATCCACAAGTTCATGGAGATGATCTTGGTTTAAACATTTGATATTAAAGATATCACTTGCATGCTTATATAGCAAGGTTGCCTTGTATCTCTTGCTTCTGATGAATGAACGTCTATGTCAAGCCTGCCTGTGCAGCCTCCTCAGGTGTTGCGTGCCTGCGTTTCCCAGCAAAGCGCCGACCAAGCAGCGAACATGACAACTGGGCCGGTTCACCCCCTTTTGGCTTGGTTGCGTGGGGGCCGCTGAGCACTGCGAAGCGTCATCGAGAACACTTGATTTGGGTACACGACAGCGGCTGTGCCCTTGCCCTTCCCGCGGAAGATCTCCACCCATTTGCTCTTGACCACCTTGGACAGTGTTCAGCAACATAATTAGTACCTTTTGTTCCGGGAATTGGAAGATTGCTCATGTAGGCCCAATGTAGGCTGCCTGATATCAAAAGTTTCCTGCATTATGTCCTATCTGCATGCGTCAATGCGAAACGGTTGCATTTCGCTGTCGGAGTCTCTGTCTTGAAGTCTGCTTTGTACCTTGCCGCCTTCCCTGCAAGCAACCTTCGACTTTGCTCCAGGCCGAGTCCACCAAAGTCTGCAGCTCTTTCCATTGCACACCCTTCAGGGCAAAGGGTTTCAACAGGTTTCAGCTCCAGCTTCTGCACATTTAACACTTAACATCACTTAATTGTGGATTTTGCCTCGGGAATGTTGCCAATCCACACCTTCTTTGCCGGGTCCTCATTGGCTGTGTCACTGTGAGAGATCCCGAGCTCCACTGAGCTCCACTGAGCTCCATGCGACCTTCAGGGGACTTTTGCCTTTGCCCTTGCCCTTGCCCTTGAGACCAAACCTCAAAAGACAGCAAACGTCGCTGTCTTGAGTCACAACTGAGGAAGTCCGGATGAGACTGCTCATTGAAAGCCCAAGAAGTTGCCAACACCAGTGTGTGTAGGAACAAGAAGGCTACTAGGGGCTCCTGGCATCGCTACTAGGAGCAAGGACCCTACTAGGGGCGCCTGGCCATACTACTAGGAACAATGTTTGCTACTAGGAGCAAAGGGACTCCAGACTCCACAAGTTTGAGAAGTTGCCAAGCTCCCAGTAGCTTTTTGCTCCTAGTAGTAAGGCCAGGAGCCCCTAGTAGCATCCTTGCTCCTAGAAGCGATGCCAGGAGCCTCTAGTAGCGTCCTCTACCGTGTGCCTTTTCATAGACACATATTATTGACAAAGTTCTTATGCCACGCAGCATAGGTGGCATCATCATCCCACCATAGGCCCCCATCATCATGCCCTCACAATTGTGAAGAGTGCAATCAGTGCAATCAGTGCAATGTGTTGACATCTCTGGCCCACACCGGTGAACCAGGAAGGCTTTTTGCAGTAACAAGAAGCTAGTAGGAACAAGTGCATCACTACTAGTAGCAAGTGCCTTACTACTAGAAACAAGAAGCTAAATAGAAACAATGAGATCTCATGAAGCGGAAACATCCAGTGTCCATCTTGCCTTGCCGCCGTCCCAAGGGCCAAAGTAGCCGAAGGGGGGCCCATATCCCTTGCCCCAGCCTGTCAAGTGTGACAACTGTGCCACAGCCATGCCATGTTCAACGGGAAAAGAAAAATGAAGCTCAGAGGCTCAGAGATCAGAGGCAAATGGAATTGAACTTTCAACGTCAGGACTGTTGCCCACCAAGAAGACCCTGCAAAAAGACCTATTGATCCCAAGTTGCCTTTGCCGTTCCAGCCACCATAGCTGCCTTTGCCGTACCTCAAATATCGGTGCCCAGACCAAAGAAAGCTTACATGCAAAATATACTAGTAGTTTCTTGTTACTAGTAGTACGGCCAGGAGCCCCTAGTAGCGTCCTTGCTCCTAGTAGAAATGCCCTGTGTTAACATGATTGGGATTTTCAAGGCGGCGCACATCTTCACAAATGGGCCGGTCTTGTCTCACGTCCACAGGCAAGGTGAGCCAAAAATGACTGCAAAGTACTTACGAATGCTTCAAGTTTCTCTGCCATGAGCTAAGCTGTACTCAAAGAGCGAAGTCCTTCACTCTGGGACAAACCTCACACACGAGCCAGAATTCTGAGAGGATGTCTGATGTCAAGCACTTTTTTGGGGCCTTTTGGTCGAGAGACCGCTGGCACTAACTGCGAGGACTCTTCGCAGAGCCAATGTCGTTCAGACAAAGCTAGAAATGTGGGTCTGGCAAGATTCAGAAGCTGAAGCTACTCTTTGTCAGCTGCCAGAAGCCCTTTCTTCCTTGGCTGATCAAATGCCCTCTGGAATCCATCCGAAGTCTCAGCGACAGGCTGAAAGGCATGACCAGCAATGACTGAATTGAGCACAAAGAACATCAAAGAACTAACATAGCTGCAGTGCCTATACCTCAGTTGGTTCAACATGTCAACATTCATTCTGATTTCTGGCCGAAGTTCGTGAGGATGTGCAAGAATTGATCGTGGTTCCACGATACTCGGGCCTCGAAAGAAACTTGTCAAGGCATGGCAAGGTCGTCAAATCCTCTCAGACCAACCATGAGTGTGTCGGTACCCCTTGCAGCCGGGTTGTTTGACATTTGCGTGTGCAGCCGAGAGTCCTTCACTGTTGCAGCCCACTGCCAGTGTGGCTCCTTGCTAGGTGTTCTCATATTACAACTGAGTACGGCTGATGACTCTGTTAAGAAAGACGCTTTTTAGAGTAGACTCTAGATTATTTTTTAACTATAACCTTTAAATTAAGAAATGTGGCTAGCAGGTAGACTCTAAATAAGGTTTCTTATTCTATTTTCTCTCCCTCGAGCTCTAAATCGCTCAACCGCATCGCTATGCGGATGGTCTTCGACTTCTTCGACCCGTATCCCCGGATGTTGTATAATGTTCTATCATGGTATAATGCTCAAGAATCTGAGATGAGGGGAGGGAGGGAGGGAGGGAGGGAGGGAGGCTCAAAGTTGAAGGCTGCGATGGATGCATCCACTCCATGTTGTCGTCGTCGTGTAGAAGTCGACCATACCGCGCAGCACGCAAGTAGGCCGCAAGCAGGCCCGCAAGGGCCTCAGTGATTGTACCTCAGCTGAAGTGTGGCGCGCCGCACCTCAGCCAAATGCCTCAGGCAAGCCAGGTCCGACTTATGCCGGGGCCAACCTAAGTACTTCTGATTCTGTAGGTCATCCTGGGGAGAAGGAACATCAGGTGGGAGCAGGGGGCAATCCCAAGCAACATGAACAAAGGTTCCGATGGCACCGCAATTGCGATGACAAAGATTTGGAGTACCTCCATTTTTCATGACAGAGAAGCGAGCGGGCGAAACAAAGGCACCCGTCAACACGGCGACCTCGTGCGCCCCATGCGCCACCTCACGGGCAGCTTTACACCGAGCAGCATCGTAGGGCAAGCCGCGAAATCGCTGACTATCCTTCCTAGAAGTGCTCGTGAACGAAGTCCACATTTTATGCCGCCAAGCTTCGCGAAGCACATGGCCGATTTGATCAGTCGTCACGCCGCCCTGCGGGCGAAGGTCACAATGAAGCGGAAGCGAACTGTGCCGCCACTGCCAAGGTGCTGAAATGACCCATCCAAGATCCTTCAAAAACTTACGAACCAGTGCCGTCACGCCACCCGGGCTCGTCCAGTCGGTGAGCAACCGGCCAAGGGTCCGCATGCTACGAGTCACAGCCGTCACAGCGGCCTGTCCAGCCATGAAAAGAAGGTCCTGGGAGTGGCCAAGCAACAGTTTCTGCAAGTGAACAGATGCCGTGCGCTGACCGTAGCCGGCCCAGCGCAACAACCGCTCACACGGCACAACCTGTTTTAAGGTAGGAGCACGAAGTAGCCAACCATAGGTGGCCTTTGAAGCGACGGTGCACTGAGCGTAAGAATGCCGAACGGCGCCTGCAAAGGGAGCCGCACGCACACGCCGCGCTGCGTCTTTGGCTTTGTCCAAACGAGAACACTGCTTTTCGGTTGGACAAGTATTGCCCTTATATAGTGAAGGAACCCCCCAAAACCTCAAGGCAATTCGTCACGTGTGGAGCCAGGGCAGGGTCGGCCCGCATTTGGTCCATCTTACGTTTAGCGAACTGAGTTTTGCGGACATTTTCCGTCAAGCCAAGTTGCGATGCATGATGCTGCCACAGGGACCAAACCTGACGCATTTCGTCGACCTCGGGGGCGCTGAAACTCCGGTCATACAGATAAATTACCTGGGTCAATCGCCGAGGGAATCTGGCCTGGATCACCTCAGTGGGGACTTGCATCAACACGTTTAATGCCCAAGGAGCAAGGCTGTCGCCCTGTGGCATTGAGGTGCTCACCGAGACCACCCGCGGCCGACTGCTACCTGACAACTGCAGGATACGTTGTTGCCGTTCCCACAGCAAGGAAATGGCTTTGGTCAACCATTCAGGGAATCCTCGTCTCTTGAGGAAAGCCAGGACACGTGCAGGAGCGACACGGTCGAAGGCCTGTTTGAAATCTAAACTGGCTAGGACAGAACCTTTGGCGTTAGCCTCGGCCAGTGCGACCACAGCGGCCGCCGCGTCGCGCTTCTTGCGCGAACCCCATTGGTGACCCGAGAGCTGGGCCTGATACCAGGTCAACGCGTCCTGGTTCTGGAGTTTGGCACTGATGTAAACCCTCCAAAAACACGACATGATCGAGATGGGTCGAAGTTTAGAGGCAGGGGTGGGTCCATCGAAGAGGAATTGTTTGGGCAAATGGGTTTGCCGTATGCAAGTCCAAACCGAGGGAAACACTTCGAGTCGCTCGAAAGCATGCAGCACTTGGACACAATCAGCCCACATTGACTCAGGCCAAGCCGCGATTTCTGAACCGGACCAACCGTCAACGCCAGCACTTTTGTGGCGCTGTTTGCCCACGGCTCGCAAGAGGTGATCCAGCTGCACCGGAGCCCAAACTTCGCCAGCCGCTTGAGGAACCTGCCACTGATCGAGATAATCGGTGCCCGAGATCTCGCCGGGCAGATCGGGACGTTGCCAGACCCTCTGCCAGAAGGAGCACACTGTTTCCAGGGCATCACTCATGGACGTGGAGGCCTCAGCGACGACTTCGGCTTCATCATCAACAATGTTCTGTTGACGCCGCTGTGGCTTTGCTCGAAGCCATTGGAAGGTTGCCGTTTGGGATAAACGCAAGCGCCACTGTTGCAGGACCCTTGTTTTATGCTGCTGCTCCAATTGCTGCACCTTTCGTCCAACAGTGGCCGCGGTGGATTCAGGCGTCCAATGTGGACAACGGGAGATTTTAACCCAAAGAGGATGAGTGGTACCTATGGACTGCCCACGCCTTTGCCTAAACTCAAGTTCCTCCAACCGACCGTGCAATCGCCGAAGAACTCGAATTTCATTGGGGGTAGAAGAACCGTATGGCTGATTGAAAGCAAACTGCCTTTTTCGGAACTTGGGACCTGTGCCTTTGCGACGGTGAGGTGTCTTGACCGTGGTCATGCCCAAGCCGCACCGTCGCGCTGAAGACACCAGGAATTCTTCCAAATGTAAGTTAAACATGGCCCAGATGTTGTCAACCTTAGTTTGCGGATCCTTAACGGGATCGGCTTCAATACTGCGAACCTCATCCAAAAAGGTTTGCCATATCATTTCCGAGATTGATCAGCCCATTCGAGGCCCAAAAACCTAGTCCATTCACCTAGATCATCCGGAGATCGGGGCAAGTAGGTATTACACGGGGTAAGTTCAAAAGTCGGCGGGGCATCCCAACCCTCGTCCGCCGACAACTCAAAAGAGAAAGGTTTATGGTCCGGCCATTTTTCACTGCGCGATCGACACGAAAGAGCCGGAGAGTTGCAAATCACAAAGTCAATGATGGCCGAACTATTCCAACGGCTACCGCAAGTGTCCCGAGGGTAACACACAACCGCACCCAGGGTTTGAAGGGCCCGACAAAGTCGGGACTCATCGGGTTGCTCATTGAAATCTCCCAAAATCACTCAAGAATCATGAGTATGAGCCTGAGTCAATTCAAAGAGATTTTGAAAGAAGTCCGTTTTTTTGGGTCGATGTTGACTGTAGATATTGAAGACCAATCGATTTCCGATTTGAGTACACACGATATGGCCTCCCGGACCGAGATTCGCCTGCCAAGACGAATTTCGAACTGAGATGTGAACCAACGTGATCACACCTCCAACCCTGCTATCCATACCTTTACGCGCACAAGGGTCGCCCAAGGTGAAGTAGCACTGCCATCCTGCACGGTTGGCTGCCGCAGCGAACCGAGTGGCGTCTCAAGAGGACATGTTCACTTCCTGAAAAGCCATCACCTGCAGGGGATCGTACCGGTAGGTCTCGAAGGCACGCCACGTGGTGTCGGCCGAACCCGTTCAGACTGATCCCAGCAAGTATCCGTCCGGCCGGGCCAGGCTGCGGCTCTACGCCTTCCTCGGTGAGGTCCCTCCACCAAGAACACTTCTGAAGGGGAGGTAACTTAGGAATCTGGAAGACACCTTTTTGGGAGGGGTTTTCCGCCCGATGCTGCATCTCCAAAGTTTGCTTCCGGCCCCATTTCCAAGCCAAAATGGTGGGAAGAACCGTGTCGGGTTGCGTCTGTCGCAAAGTCAGCCAATGATTGCCACGACAAAAAGGTCGCGGTGTACAAACGGAGTCGCAAAAGTACGTGGTGTTATTGGTCAATCGCTTATACTTTTGACAGGTGTACCGAATACGAGCATCATCTTTGCAAATTCCCCGTAGCATTGGAACCGATAAAGATAAGGTCATGTCCCTTAGCCGTCGCTTCTTGCAAGCGTTTTTGTCGCCAAGCAGCGTTGCGCCAACCAGACTGGTTGCGTTTGTTTTTCCGAAAACCCTCCAAGCGCATCTGTTTCAGTTTTCAAGATTGGTGATTTTCGTGCATTGGTCTAAGTGGGCACCAATGGATCGTCGTTCCCGTTGGGATAAAGGCAACCCAGTGGCCAGACCAAGCAGACACTTGCTGCAAGTCCAACAACGATTCTCCCACAGAAGGTCGGCGACCTCGATCGTAGGCAACGTAGTACGAACCGAGTGAAGTTTCATGTCCGCACCCGGATGAGATTTCTTCATGTGAACAAGTTTTTTTTGAAAAGGTTCTTGCGAGTAACCGTACTGAAACTATACTCACAGAGTTTACAATGCCACACATGTTTTTCGACAACCGGACCGCCCTCCTGGGTTTGTTTGCCATAAATTCGACGCCGACACGTCGCAGTCGGCCGATCGCCAGGACCAGGGGGCTCGCTGTCAAGGGCATTATTAGCCATTCGAGTGATGGTGCTACACGCCAAGAGGCAATGCTGGAGTGTCTCAACTGAATCAGTAGCGGAAAAAAGGCACTCCTTTGCTAATCGTTTTTAACCAAGCGGCGGCAGTGGCCCAACTTGGGCATTCGTCCAACACTGGCTGAGCAGGGGACTGAGCCTGAATAGGAACGACCCAGCGTTTATCGACTTGGCAGATCGAAGAGGCCGAATCTTTTGCGTCACTGGGGGCCTTGGGCCCTTGCTGCCGAGGCACTGAGGAAAGATGCCACGTCCAAGCGTGGGCGTTTGACCCGGTCAGACCGGCCCTGGGAGGGAGCAGGCTTGGCAGGAGTACGGTGTGGGAGGGCAAGGCACGAACCCGAGCCTCCTAGTGAAAGGGCCGCTCTGCTGGGAGTATGATCCGGTAAAGCAAGGGCGAAAACAGAGGCGGGATGCCAGGTGTTTCACGGAGCCAGTCCTCAGGGACAACGGTGGCTTTGTGAGGGAGCAGGGATCTGTAGTGTCCGCCCCACAAAAGAAGACACAAGGGAGAACCTTTCTGAATGCTTTTGGCCAAATTCTTTTCAAATTCCGGGGCCAACACATGTCGTTCCCAAGCCGAATCTTCAACATTCCAAACAAAAACGATCAGGATACGGCCAAGTCTGGTGGAAAGGGCATGCAAGAGAAGTCCATCAATCCAAAAGTTCCGACGACTAGCCAACATGACATAATCTTCGAAGCTAGCAGGTTCAGGGGCTCCTGCGCGCTGGTCGTTTGTAGCGTCAGGATCAGGGGCCCAAAAGTCAACAAATTGGTCTTTGTTTTTGAGCAGGTGACCCACCGCAAATGTGCGCAAGCGGGAAGCCTCAGTGACTATCTTATCCTTGGAAAGATCTTTGCCTTGGTCATGGGCAAGAGCCCGTGCAATAGCACGGAAACCGCAATCGCCGCTGCCGTGGTCATCACAACAAGTCCATGCTGGGAACTCGGTGGTCGAGGTCGTAGCCGGGCCCACCGCCGTCGTGGAGGGTGTGACTTTGGGTCGCTTGCATCGAAAGGTATCACTTGGTGATTCTTGAGCAGGCGGTGTTGCCCCCTCTTCTGGATTGATCGTGTCCTCAAGATCGGAGTCTTGTGGAGCCGGTGGAGCCACGACAGGCGCCGTGCCAGTCCATTTCTTTTTCAGTCCCGACACCCATTCGGTGGCCAGAGAAGGGCGTTTTCGCAGTCCTCGCGGTCCTTGGAGGGAAATTGTGATATGACACGAATTGGAGGTGTTGGTATGTTGCCAAAATCCAGAATCGCAACCCTGACTTCGAAAGGGGGGGCTAATGGCATGAAAAATCCTAACCGTTTGACCTTGACGACGCAGACGCGATCGAACATTAATCTCCTTCCAACCCTCACCAGAAAGGAAATCTTCAAGGGATTTTTGATTCCAGTGATGCGGAGCACCGAAAAACTCCCAAGACCTTCGTCTGTGTGCAGGATCCTCACGTGGTTCGACCCCAATGAGGCCCAAGTCAGCCTGGCCCCCTTGTCTAAAGGCCACGCTGACGCCACGTGTAGTAGCCTCAGTGTAAATTTTCGAAAGTGAGCGTTATCCTCAGTGTCTTTGGGCCGTGGAATCCAAGTCACAGCCGGTCGATCCGATTTACTCACGACCGTGGCGAAAAGGGCTCGTTTGCCACTTTGAGAACACACCTTAGTGGCAGCGTCGGTCGAGACCCTAAGGTGGGCCACCAACAAGAGGCCCTTGGGATGGTCAAGCTTCTGCCAATTACCACCTGTGAAGGTAGCGACCGGCTCGCCGAGCAGCTTAGCCCATTCAGCGATGACCGATGTCGGTGTGTCGGGTTTGTCCACGCCCGCGATGTGTTGACGATAATGCCAAGGAGCAAGGAGACGTAAAGTGACCAGTTTGGGGCCCATCGTGTCACGGAGCTGAACCACTTGGGCCGGCCGAGGGACCGGGCCTTCGAATTCCGCAACCTGGTGAATTTTCACCTTATACCGATAAGGATGAACCGGTCGTTTACCATGACCCCACCGAAACCGCCGGGCCGACCGAGTTAGGAGGAGCAATGACCGCGACCGTTATGTCGTCAGCAAGATCATAAGCCAGCCAAATTTGGCGCACTTCATCAACAACAGTCTCATCCGCAGTGAGAATGAGATTCCCAGGAACCACATTGTCGTCTTGCAAAGCCGCCAAAATCTTTGGGATGGTGGTGAGGATAGGGTCTCCCGTCCACTCATGGTCCAAACTCTGTCCGCGAAACGAGCCCTGCGTGAAGTACGAGGGTGGTCCGAATTCGAGATCCTTTCGGCGGTCGGCCTGCGAGATGAAGGGTCCTGGTGGGGGGAGACACCGGTGGTGGATTTACCCTTGCCCTTAGCACCCTTTCCTTGAGCAGTCGTAGTGGAAGTAGTCGGGGACCCAACAACCTTAGGGGCCGGGACTCCCTGGGGCCGAATCGGCAATGTGAACTGTCCGAACCGGTTTGGAGATAGAAGGCTGAGCGAGATCCTCGGTTTCGAAGCGAACTCCGTTCCCGTTTGGTCTCAAGATTTGCACGATCAGGGGACTGAAAGGCCTGCAACCTGGCTGTTAATTTGCTAGCAACCATTTCATCAGACCATTGAAGTTCGACGGCGGATTGCAGTAAGCTCATGAAGGTCTCAGCCAAGCTCTGCTGCTTCCGCGCCTGTGGCGTGTCACTACCCTTTCCTTTTTTCGAGGCGGAGAGGCTGGGGAAGCCTTTTGGGTGGTAGATTGGAATTTCTGAAGCACGTCAAGCAAAGCAGTAGGAAGGCGGGCATCGTCGTCACCAGGCGAGTCCCACCCCCGCTCGTTGCGCTTTCGAACAGTAGCTCGGCTGCCACACGGCGCACCAAGGGTTCCAAGTGCCAAGCTTCACCACTCTAGCAAGGCTGGCCGCAGTAAGACTATTAGGGGTAAACAAAAGAGGAACGTCCTCGAACAGGTCAGGCACATTGTCCCTATACAAGGTGCCCTGCAAGACCGCAAGTGACAGAGAAGTCTGGTTCGTTTCAACTTTCCCAGAAAACGATAGCGACGAATTATGATCCGGAATCGCCGGCGGCCGACCCATCGACCAGGGCAAGCCCAACGCCCCGTGCGGAGAAACGGATGTATAGGAGAAGCAAGAACCTGTTTAGGCCTTTTGTAACGTGCAGCCAAGGTGCCGTTGTGAACTCCCACCCCCTGGACCGTCCCAAAAGTACCGGGGGAACATTGGGAGGAGAAAGCATTGCAACTGCTAGCGCAGCAAAGCAGGAGCATCAAGCAGAAGAGTCCCTTATTCTGGTGGCCCTTCTTCACATCCACATTTTTTCTTTTTGGGCTCTTGGTCTGTTTCAAGACTTCTTTGTTGGGATCTTGTCTGATTTTTTGGCTCTCGGCCTCGCAAGAGCTTCCTTTCTGTCCCACTTCGCTCGCGTACGGTGGTCGCAGCACGCGCCCGCCATGTCCACTCGGAGGCAGGGAGATAATGGCGCATCCACTCCATGTTCTCCAATAACTTCCGATGACCATCAGTGACCATATCACTTTTGCAGCTCTACATGCGTTTTGTGCTGACGGTTCGGAACTTCAGGTTTTTGAACAAAAAATGTAAGTTCTGAACCTTTTTGGAAGCAAAGTGGAACCACGGATGTTGTATAATGTTCTATCATGGTACACTGCTCAAGAATCTGAGATGAGGGGAGGGAGGGAGGGAAGGAGGGAGGGAGGCTCAAAGTTGAAGGCTGCGATGGGACTTCTAAAGGGTTTCAGACCAGTTTCAGACCACCCGAGAGGACAGGTTGGGGACAGTTTTTTGAAACAGATTTAAGCAAACTGAAGCTTTTGCTCTACGTACGTATCATGGAAAGGGGTCATAGATGATGTCAAGTTTGTCATTAAGGGGGCGCGCTCTTTCTCTTTCTCTCTCTCTCTCTCTCTCTCTCTCTTTCTTTCTCTTTGTGGCAGGGCCCTTCAAATTAGAACGTAATACGTGTTTAAAAGAAAACGTGTTTTTTTGACAAAAATAGAGTCTAGAAATAACTTATTTTTCCAAAAAAATAGAGTCTACTTTCTTGTTTAAGAATATTTCTTAACACAGATAGAAACCGTACACTCCACAGGGTACATTATGATAAATAGACAGAACACTGCAAAACTGCAAATCAACTTAGACCAAGTGGAAAGGGCCAATGCTCTGAGCACACGTGTTCCCACTCCTGCAGTTCAGGCGCCTGGAAAGAATCTTCCATCAACACATATGCGCCACAAAGATCATAAAGCTCATTCGTAAATCACACAGGCCAAACGCTTGGCATTCGTATCCCAACACTCTGAGAAACTCTCCTAATCCCTTTCGACAAATCAAACAAAATCCATGCAGTGTTGCCCTGGCCCGGTAGGAGACGACCACAGAGGATGGCGGCAACCGATCGGCCAGTGCAGCTCGGAGAGAGCGCAGCGAACTTCGCCTTTGCAAACGTGTTGTCGCAGGTTGCCCTTCCTTTGGTGTACTGTGAAGACTGTCTGTTTGTGTAAAGGTGTGTGTGTGTATCGCAGTCGATTTGAATGAGTTCTACCTCTCACATCCTCTCACCTGATCTGAAAAATGGGAAACCAAGACGGAATACACAAACACAGAAGCGGAAGGCAGGCTGGTGTACAAAATGAAGAACCCCTGCAAGAAGTCTGCAAGCAAATTCCAGCAAATTTTGGCCATAGCGTCGGGAAGCTATCATCATTCATCCAAACGAGAGCCTTAGGGTTTCCCCGGCTTTTCTCCGAGCAGAGCTTCAGCATCTCAGCTGCAACTATCATGATCAACAACTTGGACCGCTGCCACATCACCGATCTCTTTGGCGGCCAATGCATCCCCGCAATGAAAGTGGATCCTGAGAGCAGCACGTTCTGCAAGAAACTTGTTACTCTCGGGGGGGGGGGGACGGGGTGCGCAGTGTCAACCTTCCCCATGAAATGATTGGCCAAGTCTCCGATCAGCAAGGCCAACATCCTGCCAAGTGCAAGTGCATTACTGCTAGTAACAAGAAGCTACTAGTAGCGATGCACTTGTTACTAGTAATGTATTGTTAGTAGTAGCGATGCACTTGTTACTAGTGTTGCAATTTGCCAATGTCATGTTCAACTGAACATGATGCGCAAGATTGAACCAAGCGTTTGCACCCAGACAAATACGTGGTTGCATATATAATAATGTTTGCACCCAAACAAATACATGGTTGCATGTGTAATATAATAGTGAAAGGAACCATAGAAATCCAAAAAAGTCCTTGGCAATGCGCTGCGCGGGCATCACCATGCTGTTGCCTTGTCTGAGACAAATCACAAAATGTGATGAGGTTCAAAAAAATGTACTGATAAATTGTCTTCTCCAACTGAGTGGCATGTCCCACTCCTGAACTCCTTGTTCTCTCAATCACAGAACGAGTTAAGAATAGTCTGCCCCTTGCATCGCGCCCGAAAAGAAAGGGTTGGCAACGGAAACTTGTCTCGCACTCCAAAACTGAGTTTGCCGGTTCCAAACCCGCTATGATATGAGAAATAGGGTATAAGTAAGTAAAAACTAATGGAGATTGCGGGGAACAAGCAACCACCCAGACTGGTTTCCGCTTGCCTTGTCCAGGGTCTATTCAAGTTCAACTTCTGGGAGCAAGCTCCAGAGTTGACTGGACCAGCCCCAAACTCAAATAAGACGAGTTCATCGTGCAAGGGAGGGATGAAGAAGTACGGAGGTATCACAGGGGTAGCAAGGTAAGTCGTCGTAGCTAAAACGCTGCTGTCGTAGTAGCAAGTTCTTAAATATTGAGCGCAGAAAGGTTCGGGTTTCTTGCATGATTGATTTGGCTCCCAATTGTAGGGAAAGCTGACCTCCATATGAGCTGATGCGGTTTCCTACCCCACGCACCTTCCACCAATCCCTCATCCCAAGTACCTCAGACCTTGTTGACCTTTCCATCTCGAAGGACCCACCTGGGCTCATTCACCTGCAACTCTTAGGGCCAATTCCTGCTTATTAAGCTCTTGCCCCTTGTCACCTTGTCCAATCTCTTTTCACGGAACACCCAAAATCATCCCAAATCACAAAACCTTGATAAAACTCTTTATGAAACCCTTCATGAAGAGATTTAGTCTTTGGGGCCTCTCCTCATGAATGAAGAGATTTAGTCTTGGTGACCAGTCCTGACCCCCCCAATTAAAATGGAATTGCACTTTTCTGACCACCCCCAAACAGCAAACCTTCCGGGGGGGTTACTAATCCAGTCTTTCTCTGCACAGTCATGTTGCAGAGCAGGTCGTAGCCGACACAGCGAGCAAACCCCAGACCAAGTGCAAAGGCACACTGGTATCCTCGGTGTCTGAGGCGCCGCATTGTGAACTCAAAAGTCTTGCCGAGAAACAAGATTAGATCATGTTCGATTGGGGGAGCCATCACAACATTGGCCCGCCTCGTAGTTGCTTTGTCTTGTATTTCTTGTAGTGATAGTTTACATCCTGCAATCCTCCAAGTCCTTGGGCAAGTCTTTGCCAAGCTTCCCAAGGCGCTGCCGACAATTAAGGCCACGGGCTCTTTCTTGGCTAGGACTGCCTGACAGTCTCAAGATCTGTCATTTGCTGGCTTCTCTAGTCCATGGTGAGGACAAGTGAAGCTTATGAAGGTCACACCCTTGCTACTTACATGTCTATTCAGGCCCTGAGAGATAAAACTAATTGAATCAAAGGTTGCAAGAAAAAAAGTGCCTGAACCTCCGGCTGCTGACAGACCTGCCAGTCCAAGGCTATTAAAACGTTGCTTGACCAATCACTCAAGTGCAGCTAGGATGAAACCTTGCAAGAGCTTATCGAAGCAACTGGGAAGATATGTGCAAAACGAAAATAGTTCAGAAACACCCCGGTCAGAAACATCCCGGTCGCCAGCCCGCCTCTTGCCATGCAGGAAAGTAGGTCACTCCATAACCTGACTGTCCCTTCTCATGCAACTCAATTCATTTCAGCTCAATGCTAGCACCCAATTGGGGAATAGTATTGCAGCACTCAAATCGTTTCACGTTGAATCTTTCAGCCCTCCATAGAGTCGTTTGAGAGGAATGTCTTGTATCAAATGCCTTACACTTACACTGGTATATCATATCTGATACAGCATCTCCAAATGTTAAAACAGGAACACAAATCCAAAAACGTATTGGTGGGCATGTTCTGAGCAAACCCACCAAAAAATGAAACAATCCATGTGTTGTGGGTTTGATACCGGATTCTGCTGCTCACTGCATCTCGCTGGTGCTCACTGCTCTGCTGAGCACGGCACTGATCAAACGGCCACTCCGGAAACGCTCCGTCGTTTCTCTGACCCAGCTCAACAGCCAATCCTTGGCCGTTTACCGAACCAGAGGTCCAATCAACAGCTTTTCGGCAAGTCGGAAAAATTGGATTGGGATTCATGCGGGATGATTCGATTGACAAAAATACACTAATCCTTCTGTTGTCGTGAAAAAGACCTGTGGCCTTTTCAGAAAAAGTCTTGTTTGCACTCGGTACAGTAGCTTTAAATGTTCTAGCTTCAAATGCACCAAATCATTGGAACACGAACTCATGGAGCCACATCAAATCTGCCCAGCTAGAGTTCGGATGCATCTCGAAGCAAACAAAAGGCTGCAAAATCCGCCAGAAGCAGCAGCAGCTGCAGCAGCTGCAGCAGCACAAACATTGAATAAGACTTTGATCTGAGAAAGTGCAAGCCCCGTTTATTGCTCTTTGGCAAACATTCGATTTGCAAGCATGCAACGCTGTCGTTCTCTTGCTGCCGCACAGCATCTGGCAATCAATAAAGGTTGCATCCACTTCAATTCTGACAGGCAAACCAACGACCCAGCCTAGCATCTTGACTAGCTGAGGATCCTGCAAGGTGCACCACCCGTCAGAAGTTGCTAAAGACAGTTGGCAACGGTACATCTCTCTTGCGACAAGCACCGAATCCAAACATGGTTGTTTCGGAGGCAAAAGTGAGTTGTCTGGCATTTGAGTCGCCAGCCTGCAACTCCGGAAAGGTAAGCAGCTTCAAGCTAAAATCTTGAGAATTGCGAAAAGACATCTACAGTAAGCATGGCGCATTGCTGAAGGGTAGGCCTCCTTGTCTTGGCTTGTTTCGGGGGTGGTGCAGTCCGTGCCTAAACCCAGATACTGTACATCGCATGGCTTGTTGCAGTAGATTGAGTAGAAGAACTGCTGAGAGTTTTTGGGTTTCTCAGCAGGCAATATCAGCGAAGCACACCTACCTCTCCCTCTCTCTCTCTCTCTCTCTGTCTGTCTGTCTCTCTCTCTGGTCCTTCACTTGCTTGATGAAAGCTTGGGCCTCAGCCTCTTTTGCGTCCTGCCGATGATTAATAGTGCAACGGGCAACAAACAATTGCAGCAGCCAGCTTCCTGGAGTCATTGGGTCATATTTATATTACATGAACTTTAAGTCACGTGAACTGTGCTTACTTCACAAAGTCCCTGTTTGTGTAAAAACGGACAGCTCACCCACAAATGCCCCGCTTGCAGCTCGAGTTTTCTGAGGAATGTTGAGGGCTTGGAAACCTCAGGTTTCTCAAACATGCTCCCTCCCTGACTGCGTCCAACGAAGCCATTTTGCTCGGCTGTCCTGATAAGTGGCCTCCTCAAAGCCGAAATTGGTATTAAAGTGGACCAGAGACAAGCCATCCTCAGCTGCCTAATTTTAAACATCAGCAACCTATAAGCAATGTTGCTGAAAAGCTTGGATAAGGTTGAATCTTGATCGTCAAGAATGCCCATGGTGGGAGGGAGATCTTGGCAGGGGCTCCCATTGACTGTGGATGTGCAGCGGTCATTAGGCATGTCACGGCCAAAGGTGTATGCTTGCCATAGCCTGTGGGTGGAGCTCCCAATGTTGCGACTTGCACTCGAAGATCTGGCACAAGTTTAGCAGCTCGAACTCGAACTCTCGAGTCTAAGTGGTCTCGTGATTCAAGGTTAAAGTGCTTGTTTACCTTTCGATTCAGCGTCGGTGTCAGGTCTGCACTAAAAACAAAAGCTGGAGTACCACACACCTTCTCCCCGCAGCTTTGTATCGCAGCTAATTTCTGTGGGCTGTAATCAAATTCAAAGTTCGGCCGACCATTCAGTCATATGATGGTGCTTGGGTTTTTGGACTTTGACCGCCTCGCTAACAAGCGTATTGATTCACTCAAGGTCTTGCGTCTGGCTTCAGCGAGCTTTGGCGTATCTATCTTCAAGTACATATCAACTTGCTGATGTCTGTCGTGATTCGCTTTCAATTTCTGATATTTTCTTTGTGTCCTACCAAATGTTACCCTTCTATCAGAAATTTTAGCCTTGACACTCAGGTCCATTGACTTGAAGGTGCAGCCTTGTCTTCTGATTCAAGAAAGGCTTGTTCTGCGCTTTGGAACCTCCCAGCATTGGACTAACATGTGCTAAACTTTAATGTGGTGGCCATCCCCTTCAAATTCAATCTTGCTCTTGGAACAGCTTCTGTATCACCTGTTGGACAGAGGGGTATGACTTTGGCTAGACAGGCTCACCTTTGAGTTGATCACTCGTATTCATTGGTCGGAGATTCAAAGCCCAGGTGCCCATTTCAGCTGCTCCAAGATCTGTCTCCACTCTTGTTCAGCCTCCTCAACACGGCCTGCGCATCCATGAAGACTTTGTCCGGTGTTGACTCAATTATCAACTGTCAACAAGAAGCAAGGCCCGCCAAAAGACTCTTCACAAGCTTCACAGTTTTTGACCCGGAATGATGTACGATGTGTATCCAACAACAGCGTTTCACCTGTGCATTCAGCAATGTGTTCTCAGCAAGGAACTTCAATCGGTCGACGGTGTGATTCCAATCACAGTGCCAGGGCTAGGATGAAGAACCTATGTTTAAGGGTATTACATGGACACGAGCCAAGGCACCTTGCAAGAAGATTGCGCTGCCTAAGTCCCGACGATGCCTCAAGACCTGCAGAGGTCGTTCTCGACAGCCGAACAAAATGGAAGAAAAAGAGCAGCACCAAAAGCAACAAGTTGAGATTGGACCAAAGATTACAACCAGAAACATCCAGAAACGGTCTCCATCTCCTGAGTCCAGTGAATCTCCTTGGCGCCTCCTCGGACTTATGTTTGACAGCTTCCCGAAAGTACTCCTCAGCCAGTGTTGCATTGCCACGGCCACGTGCCAGGCGGCCTTGCAAGGAGCAAAAGCACCATGAGGAGAACAAATCCACAGAGATCTAGAGAATCTGATGCTTATGGAAGCATAGCTGACATAGCTTTCGTATGCATTTACAGAATCTCACAATGCTTCTGTTTCTTCTTACACCAAAAGCCAAACTGGAATTGCAAACAGGTTTGTAAACTTGTGCGAGACTAGCTAGCAGCGAGAATGTTGTTGACTCTCATTCTGTGTCTCAAGCATGTGAGCTTCGAATACTGCAAGATCACTAAAAAGGAAAGCCTCCTGTTCAGCCAAGCTACCAAGGCGCCAAAGGGCCAGAGCTTTGTGCGAGGTGTTCCTTCCATTCGTTCACGAACGGGTACAAGTGGAACGTAATCGAATGAAAAAGGGGAGTCGATTGCTGTACAAACAAGGTACAACAATCAAGAGTGGTTCCCACAGAACAAGGTGCCCAACAGAGGTGGGCTGCTGAGAATACACAGCCATGCGTCCACTCCAAACACACACCTCTTGTG